TTTTTTTTTTTTTTTAAGTTGGAGTTTCACTCTTGTCACCCAGACTGGAGTGCAGTGGCACACTCACAGCCACCGCAGCCATGACCTGATGAGTTTAGGCAACCCTTCCGCCTTAGCCTTCCAAGTAGCTGGAACTACAGACACACACTACCATGCCCAGCTAGTTTTTGTGAATTATTGTAGAGGTAAGGTCTCACCAAGTTGCCCAGGCTGGTCTCAAACCTCCGGGCTCAGACAATCCTCTCCCCTCGGCCTCCCAAAGTGCTGGGATTACAGGCTGAGCCACCGTGCTGGGTCACAGAAGTAATTTTAAACATTCAACACATATAAAATGCATGGCTGTAACTTCATATTGCCATTTAGTATGTTTTGTATTACAGGATATAAAAACTGCCCCTCCTTACCTATGGAATAAACTGTCACCCAAGACAGTCAAAGCCTCCTGTAATCCAGTTCAAAATCCCACTATTTTCTGGTTGTACCGAAAAATAAACAACCAGTGAATGATTTCACCTATTTAAAAAAAAAACAAAACAAAACAACTACACTTAAAAAGTGGGATGAAATGGGATTCCCTCATCCTTAAAAATGTTTCAGCCCAGTGCAGCAGCTCATGCCTGTAATCTCAGCACTTTGGAAGGCGGAGACAAGAGGATTGCTTGAACTGGGGGGTTCAAAATCAGCCAGAGCAACATGGGGAGACCTTGTCTCTATAATAAATCAAACAATTTTGCTGGGTGGGGTGGTGCATGCCTGTGGTTCCAGCTACTTGGAAGGTTGAGGCAGAAGCATCGCTTGAACCCAGCAGGTCGAGACTGCGGTGGCTGGGAGTGTGCCACTGCCCTCCAGCCTGGGTGACAGAGTGAGACTCCAATTCAGAAAAAAAAAAAAAAGATAATAACGTATTCAGCAGAGCTACTAAGAAATACATTTACAAAATAGTTGATAAACAAATTTTCTAGATTGCACAAGAAGGGAGACAGGGACCACTGATAAGGTATGGTATGTGATGTTAATCAGACTTGGCTTCTTTCTCTTCTCCGGATTGTTCTTGGTTTTAGTTTCTCTACTTTCTGCTGGTAAATCTCTAGTTTCTTGGTTAGTCACTTGGCCTGCTGCCTTTCTCCCCTTTCCCTTTGGCTTATACTTTTGTGTGTGTGTGTCATCTGAAGATTTATGCAGCCTCTGGGGGTTTTGATTCTAATTCTGCAAGGAGCAGGCTTAGCTGACAACCTCAAAGATCTCTTGGACTCTTTCTTCCTTTCCTCCTGGGCATCTTGGCAGCAGGGAAAGGTGTGTGCCTGGTACTTGGAAGCTGTGGTGCACCAAGAGCTTTCTCAAGGCTGAGCTGCCCGGTCAGTGCTGCTTTTTTCTTTTTTGAGTTGGAGTCTCACTCTGTCACCCAGGCTATAGTGCAGTGGCACGCTCACGGTCACCGCGGCATTGATTTGCTAGACTCTGGCGATCCTTCCGCCTCAGCTTTCCAAGTAGCCAGAACTACAGGCACGTGCTACCACACCTGGCTAATTTTTGCTTTACTGTAGAGACGAGGTCTTGCCAAATTGCCCGGGCTGGTCTCAAACCCGTGGGCTGAGGCGATCCACTCGCCTTGACCTCCCAAAGTGCTGGGATTACAGGATGAGCCACTGCACCCGGCCTCACTGCTGCTTCTTAAACATAATAGTTCAGCTTTTTTTTTTTTTTTTTTTTTTCTAGTTGGAATCTCACTCTTGTCGCCCAGACTGGAGTGCAGTGCCCGCTCCCGGCCACCGCAGCCTCAACCTGCTGGGCTCCGCCGATCCTTCCACCTCAGCCTTCCAAGTAGCTGGAACTACAGGTGCGTGCTACCACGCCCGGCTAACTTTTTGATTTATTGTAGAGATGAGGTCTCGCCAAGTTGCCCAGGCGGGTCGCGAAACTGCGGACTCAGGCAATCCACTCACCTCAGCCTCCCAAAGGCGCAGGGTTACAGGCTGAGCCACTGAGCCCGGCTTAGTTCAGCTTTAAAATAACTTCTTGAGTTGAATCAAAAGCTAGAAGAAACTCCTAGGCTCTATGAGCATGTCTGAAAATGACCAACTCCCCCACATCCAATTTGCAAGGAGACAATATTGATTGGACTTGATTTTCCCAGTTTGGGCAGAGATTTGCAGGCATTTTGCAGGTTGCTGGACCCTTTGTCCAATCAACTGTCAGCTCGTGGGTCACTTGGTATAGAGAACAGCCATTTCTGTGCAAGGCTCAGCTGGGGCCTGCCTCCTTCAAGGGACTGCAGGGCTACAGTTGGACAGTTTCCTTGGAAGGGGGTCTGAGCCTGTCAAGCGCTGTGAATGACAGCGGCCATTTCTAGGCCATCTCCCTAGACTCATCTTCTTTTCTTGTTTGTTTGTTTTTTTGAGTTGGAGTCGCACTCTGTCACCCAGACTGGAGTGCAGTGGCCGCTCCCAG